CAATACCTCAATGGAAAAAAAATGTTAATCATCCTTCAGAGATGGATAGCATTTGTGTCAAATGATGGGGCATCCCAGTACAAATGCTTGGCAAATGCAAAAGACATGCAGCAACAATTTACAGTAGGAAATAGGCTAAAAAGTAATTTTTTACTTTTTGAAGGGCCAGAATTTAGAAGACTTTAAATTCCAATGCCAATCTAAGAGTCTAATGGGTGCAGCAACAAGATAGCAGTAAGTTTCGCAAATGAGAGTTCTACTTACATGTAAAAGACTGAAAGATGAAGGGGAAGACAGGAAGAAATTCAACTAACTTTGGTGAACACTTATTGAACAACCTTAACGTCTCAGATTTTAAACTGAAGGGAAGGAAGGGGTTGGTAGTAACTGCAAAAAAACAAAATGGGATTCCTCGAGTACAAGTGATTTTCTATTTCTTGATATGGATGGTGGATATGAGCGATATTCAGACAAACAATTTATTAAGCAGATACTCATGATTTGAGTACCTTTCTACATGTATGTTATACGTTTATGTGTTTTGCTTTAATGTTTAAAATTTTATCAAGAACAAAGTCTTAGATCCCACTTCTAAGAAACCTCCAGGTGTGAGGATGTCATACCTTAAAAATATTTATCAAAAATATATATATTTATCAAACTGTATAAAAGATGGAACCACAGAATTTGCACAAGATACCCAAGAAGCCCTGAGAGCCAAGAGAAAATCCAGAATCAGTGACATCTAAAGTGGGTTTTAAAAAATACATGAGTTTGTCAGATGGATGAGGGAGAGAAAAGGGTGCTCCAGACAATGAAAAGGGGGAAAAAAAATGGAACAATTTATCCAGAGAACAAGTAGTTTCATAGTTCAACAATAAGATGATAATCTAAACTAGAGTAAAAGCACAGAGAATGGAGAAAAGGAATTTATGTAAAATGAAGACTGGATGGAAGGGATTTCATCTCTGATTAGATCTGGGTTTAAAAAGGAAGAAGAATGAAATGGAGATAGTTCTCAATCTGACCAAAACAGCAATTTGGTATTCAAGATCCTCCATAATCTGTATCCTCATCTGCCACAGTTCCACCCAAAGGTCAGACTCCAGACAGAAAAGACTCTTTCCTCCTCCACTCAACAAAGCACCTGATTTGCCCTCCATACAGGGTACAGTGCCAAAGACTAAGGCTATCCATCCCTGTCTTCACGAAGCTGGCAAGCTCACTTTGTAGCACGAAAAGCAAACAGGACATCAATAATAGTACAGTATAATGGAGTACCCCATCTGGTGAGAAGAGGTTTGCTATCAAAAAGTAAAGTGCTAATCTGAGTCCCAAGATAAGAGCGTGAAGTGAAAGAGATGGTATATGAATGGGGCAGGGGCTGTATGCCTGCTGGGTGCATCACTGAGGAATCAAGTTACAGATAAACCTAGGCTACATCCAATCCACATTTAAGCCCTGTCTCATTTCTCCAAATCCAGCTCCTTCAACCCCAACACATTCACTCCATCTTCATAGCTCAACTGCAGACTTCCACTTGTACACAAATACAAGCCCTACAAGCACTAGCAAAGTGATCTCCTTAAAAAGGAAATTAGATCATGAAACTCCCTACAATGGTCTCTTAGAGATCTTAGAATAAAATCCAAACATGTGACCTGGCATTTCCTGACAAACTCATGTGAAGTCTCGCCCACCCAAAAAGTGTTCAAGCTACACAGGACTTCTCTTAGGCCTCTAAACACATGGAGTTCTTTCCTGTCTCGGGACTTTTACAGAGCAGAGGCCCCTGTTCTCTCTATCCAAATCTTCAGTAGCCCAAATACCACCACCCCAACAACCAGATCTGTCTGTCAGGTCTCACACTATTGTTATTTTCTCAAAGAAATTCCAGGGCCTGCCAGTTATTGCTGATCACCACCTCTTGTTTAGGTCTCCAAAAGAAAGAGTTGTCTCATTATGGGCACGTTGAGTTTGAGAAGCACCTGGAACACCCAATAGCTCTCTGGTGTACAGACGACCAAGATCTGCACTCAAAACAGAAGCTTGGACTTTAGCACACAAGTTTGGTGACAGGAAGACAGCTCTGAGAAGTAATCCTCAACTTGGATGAAGAAAGCACCCCTGATCTCTAAGTCGCTGTATGGAATGAGATGTTACTGATAGGAGTGAGGGTAATACCAGATCAATGGTGTGAAGGACTGAGATATATTGAATAGAATTTTGGCTATGCGCAGACTGGGGGAACGGGGTGGGAAGAGAATGAAGGCCAAAGCCAAAAGAATAAAGAAAACTAGGAGAAAACCAAGAGGGAGTTATATCACAATTCCACAAATTCCCATGCAGTTCTATGCTTCCTCCTTTGACAAAACCCTACTCTACTCATTTTCACCCACCCCTCCCCCAAGCCTTTCTGGCCATATCCAAACAAAAGAAGCCCCCTCTCCAAGCTTCTATAAGTTCTTCTTATCATTAGTATTGGGTCGGCCAAAGAGTCCATTCGGCTTTTTCTGTAAAAGACCCATTTTCATTTTCACCAATTACTTTACTGATCTGGATATTTTGAGTATGTTGGCTACCTCCTGCTATTGGCTTCTAGTGGGTGGAGGCCAGAGGTGCTGCTCTACGTCTTCCAATGCATAAGACAGCCCCACAGCAAAAAATTATTTGGGCAAAATGCCAATAGTACAAGAAACTTTGCAAACCACTTTTGACACATTCAGTCAGTCAGTCATAGCACCTCCATATACTGTACAAATCGGTTGTTTTGCATTTCAGTTGCATTTTTACCTTACTTGAAATAATAAAGCATAATATGCCAAAAATGTTACATATTTTATTCCATCTTCAATATTAAAATGGCTACACAAAAATTCACCAAATTTTTTATTGCACACCGATATAACAGCTGTCACATACAATCTAACAAAACTGTTTCAAATGAAGTTAAAGACAGCTAAGTAATACTGGAGCCATTCTACAAAAAAAAAAACTAAATGAACTTTTTGGCCAACCCAATGTTATATAAGATTAGACCCACACACAAGTAACTCATCAGTACTGTTTATGGCACTTAAAACAATCTGCCTCCCTCGTACTACACACACCTGGGTGTGTGCCTTCCCTATTACACAGTGAGCTCCAGGGGTAGAGGCCTTATCTTAGTCACCTGTGGATCCTTAAGAACATGGGCAAAGAAATTATTTTTTTTCTTTTTAAGATTTTATTCATTTATTTTTTAGAGAGAGGGGAAGGGAGGGAGAAAGAGAGGGAGAGAAACATCAATGTGTGGTTGCCTTTCAAGTGCCCTCCACTGGGGACCTGGCCCACAACCCAGGCATGTGCCCTGACTGGGAATCGAACCAACGACCCTCTGGTTTGCAGGCCAGGACTCAATCCACCGAACCACACCAGCCAAAAAGAAATTATTTTTTAACTTAATAAAAGTCAAGATGAATAAATAAGTGGGCAGAGATCATGGATAATTTCTCTGCTCCTTCCTCTTATAAAACAAATAACACATCCTAATTAACTTGATTTACAAATTTGTTTCTTAAAGTAACACACACCTGTACAGTTTTTTAAAAACCACTGCTAAAATACCCGAAATTCGTATCCTGTTGCAACAAGGTGTAATCACTTCCTTCAACATAAATATGAAATACCCTTAATTTAGTTGGAGACTTCATGTATTCTTTTCTAATTTGTGAATTCTGTACAAAACAAACACAAAAATGTTACAAAGACGCAGGAGGACAACAGGGGGTGTCAATCCTGGAGTTGAGCCAATTGCCGCCTGCATTATAGGGAAGCCATTCCTGCCAGGCCAAGGTTAGGCATTCAGTCAACATTTTTTTCCAACAAGTGCTTCACTACACACACACTCCTTTAAAAGTCAACAAAAAAAGACACTAACGCCACTCAGAACTAGGGCGGATCCGAGTTAAGAGCTTCCAGTTAACCAGCACCAGAAGCCTGAGTAACAGCGCAACAAAGGTTAACTTGATACACGCCAAAAGTCCACTCGGGTGTGGCGCACCTTCCCAAGCAGACAGTGTCAGAAAGCGAGCTCACAAACTTTCGCATTCGTTCGCGCCCGGGAATGCGGGTGTGCGGGCCAGCAGACTTTCTGGCCAGCAGACCGGGAAGTTTCGGTGACGGGGGCGGGGGAGTGCGACCACGGAAACCACAAACCACAATCACTTCCCCGGGAAACTCAGTTCCCGAACGTCTCCGCACCGGGAACAACGCGCAGACTCCTCAGCACCCGGCAGCCGAGGGGTCCCAGCCGGGGCCTGGCGCGCGCACCGAGTCCACTCGAACAAAGTTTAGAAACCGAGAGAAACTTTCCAGAGAGGGAGAGCGGCGGTCGCGTGGGGCCCGAGGCTCGCTGGGCTCCAGCCGCCGGGGCCCCTCAACTTCTCCAGTGCCAGAAAAGGACGGCCCCGCCCGGCGGGCCACAGCCCAGGCCCAGGGTCCCGCGGGGCGAGCCGGCCGAACGCCGCAAGGGCACCCGTCCGGAGCCCGATTCCCGGCGGGGTCACGGAGCAGATGGAGCCCCTCCCGACCCCCTGAAGAGCCCTTCAGCCCGGTTAGGGAGTCCACGCCCGCGCGAAGAGAGTTACCTGCAGCGAACCCGGCGAGGGCAGGAAAATTCCCGAAGCCCGATGCCGACGGAGGCCGCTTTGTCTTCCTCCCGTCCGGCTCCGAGGAGGAAATGGGCTGCCGGACGCCCCCGCCCCCGGCCCGCCCCCCGCCCGCGGCCCCCGCCCCGCGGCCCGGGCACCGCCCGCCCTTCCCAGCACCTCCCTCCGACGCGCTCTTCTGGCGCCTCCCGCCGCTGCCCTGCTTTCCCGGCCTTCGCGTTGGGAGAGAGCACCCGACCAAGAGAGTTTGGCGACGCCGGGCTGAAACCCCCAAAAGGACCTCGTGTACCCCACCCTTCCCCCGCAGTTAACGCCTCCCAGGCTCCTAGTGGGCTCTCAAGCAGGGAATGCCCTCCCACCCTACCCCGGGTCCCGAGAAGAAGGAGGAGCGGTGATTCCCGGAACAGCCGGAGTGGGAGGGAAGGCAGGTGAGTCACCGCTCAGCGCACAGGTGAGTCTCCGGGCGCGGTCCTTGTAGGCCCCATTTGTGACTGGTGCCCCAAGGACCTGGGCATACTCCTCTAAGAAGTGCCACAGGTGTTCCCCAGTCACAGCCTTCCAGAAAAGTGTCGTAGGCCCGCCCCCTGCTTTACAAGAGAAACTGAGGCCTCAAGGCTTGTGGCAGAGTGGCACTAGAACCCTTCTACTCCAGGGACCTCATAATGTGAGATGGAAGCCCTACTAGAAATCATCCCCTCACTTAACAAGGAACCCAAAAGGACCTGGCTTCTCTCCCTATCCCTTGGGCCTCGAGGGAAATTTTATTCCCACACATTCTTCCTTACCTTCCTGGTGAATGCTCAAAAAAAAAAAAAAAAACGTAAAACAAACCAAAAAAAATACATATTCATTATCAGCCCCAATGATGTTTTTCCTGATTTAGTGCTGAGCAGGGTGCTAGGGATATCTGCCCTCCACATGTTCACCCTTTACTGCTCACACCTCCCTCTCCCCCAGAAAAGCAAGTGCCTGGAAGACAGGAGCTGTATCCCCTGGCACTCAGCACACTGTTCATCTTCTTGGCAGTGCCAGTTAACATCCGTGGGGGGATGTGCCCAAAACCTTAATCAGGCCATTCTTATCCAACTATACCCCATTCTGCTTCTGGCTTCAGAATCTTTGCTCCTTTGGTCTCCCCTGCCTGGAGTGGTTGTGGCTTCCCCCCACTATACTTGGCTACCTGAAAATATTGTAGTCAATCAATAAATATGTGTTTGAACTAACAAAAGATAGAGTTAAGGGATTATGCTTCATATCTTTGTATATCTGTCACTTTACTCAGAACCAGCCACTTAATTTGTGAGACTCCTTGTTCAAAAATTGTTAACAATTTCAAGACACCAGCAGCGGAGCATTAAACTAAGCATGGGGCCTTTCTAAGCATGGGGCCCTGCTATGTAGATTGAATGTCTGTATCCCCCAAAATGCATATGTTGAAAACCTATTGCCCAAGGTGATAGTCTTAGGAAATAGGGCCTTTCTTTGGAGGGTGACTAGGTCATGAGGGTTTGGTGCCCTAATATTTTTAAAAGTTCCCAGAAAAATGCCCTGCCCCTTTTGCCAAGTGAGAACACAGCAAGAAGGTTCTGACCATAAACCTTCTTGGTTCATGGTCACCAAAGAAAGCTGTCACCAAAACATGACCACGCTGGACTCTCCAGAACTTTTAAAAATAATTTTTGCCCTGGCTGGTGTGGCTGAGTGGATTGGGTGCCAGCCTGTGAACTGAAAGGTCTCTGGTTCCACTCCCAGTCAGGGCACATGCCTGGGTTGCGGGCCAGGTCCCCAGTTGGAGTGCGAGAGGCAACCCATCGATGTATCCTCACACACACTGGTGTTTCTCTTCCTCTCGTTCTCCCTCCCTTCCCCTCTCTCTACAAGTAAATAAGTAAAATCTTTTAAAAAAAAATAAAGAAGTTTCTGTTTATAAACTACCTAGCCTGTGGTATATTTGTTATAGCAGCCCAAACAGACTAAGACCCTAAAAATGAAAGTGCAAGGTTTATTTTGGGAAACAAAAGGTCAGGTGACAGAAAGAATATGATGAGAGACTTGCAGTATACCCCATCAGCCAGAGGGAGTCAGTTCCCCACCTCTGAGAAAACTTGAAAAGTGAACTAGGGAAGACTTGAGTATTCATATGTCCCAGGCACTTGCTATGTGCTGGGGAAGTAGCAGTGAATAAAACTGACTTGATCCCTATTCTCACACAACTTAAAATGTAATGGAAGAGACAGGTACTAAAATAGATGAACTATTTTTTTAAAAAAAAGGTCAAGGTGAAGATAGGGGAGAGATACAAGTAGATCTGGAGGGAAACTTGCCTAGTCTGGGGTTCAATGACCTTTACACTCGGACCCACTCCGGTCAGAAGTTAGCTCTCATCTCTCCACCAAAACTGCTTTTATAAAGGTCCCTGATGACCTCCATAATGCCGGTTGTAGTGGTCAGTCTCTGTACACCATTGACTTCATTTGATCACTTCTACTTAAAACACTGTCTTCTCTGGGCCTCCAGGATACAAGGCTCTTCTGATTTTCCTCCAACCTCCCCGACTGTAACTTCTTAGTCTCCTTTGATGATTCCTTCCTAATCCTCCCTCTAAAATGTTAGAGCAGTGTTCTCAAAGTGCAGTCTGAAGATTCCTGAGACCTTTGCAGGGGGTAGTCAGTAAAAACTATTTTCATAATAATCCTAAAATATTAGTTGCCTTTTCCACTCCCAGTCTCTCATGGTAGACAGTAGTGTTCCACAGGCGTCCCCTGGAATGCAGAAGCAAATCTGAGAATCCAGCTACCTTTTGTTGAGTAAGACATTAAAGAGACTTGCAAAAATGCAAAATATTACCCCTGAATTTTCTTTTATTTTAGAAAACATTGTTATTTTTCTTTTTAAACTGTTATTTATGATAACATATAATAATACAGTAAACATTGATAAACTCATAAACGAAAGCTCTTTAGATCCTCCAAAATTTTTAAGAATATAAACGGATCTTGAGATCAAAAAGTTTAAAAACTACTGTTAGAGTGTCTGTCCCGAGCTCCATCCTTGGACCTCTTTTTCTGTCTGCCATCAACCCACGGATGATCTCATCCAATCTTTTGGTTTTAAATATGCTGACAACTCCAGGTTTATGTGTCAACCTGAACCTTTGCGCTGAATTCTGAACTCCCATATCCAGCTCCTGACTTGATGCTTCCATTTGGATATGCAGTACACATCTAGGCATCTCACACTTTATATGTCTATATGTCCAAAACTGATTTCCTGATCTCTATTTAAAACCTGCTAACCCCACAGGTTCCTTCATTTTGTTAAATGACAACTGCATTTTACTTGTTTTGGAGTCATCCTCAACTATTTCCTTTCTTTCACACATTTCATGTCTAATTCCTCAGGACATCCTGTGCCTCTACCTTCAGAATATATTCAGAATCCACCAACTTTTTACCATCTTTGCTGTTACCATCCTGAGTGAAGTCATCATTGGTCATTTAGCTTGAATTTTACAGGAACACTCAGTCTAATCTCAATTCAGTGGCTGAAGTGATCCTATTAAAATGTAAATCAGAACATGTCGTTCCTGCTCTGCCCAAAACCTTCCAATGGCTCCTGTCTCACTTGGTAAAAGGCAAGGTCCTCATGAGAGCCTCTAGAGCTCACCTGCCCCCAGCACACTTCTCTGACACACTGGCCTCTTTACTATTCTGGGAACCCATCAGGCAAGCTCTTACCTTAAGGCCTTTGTTTTCTGCCTGGAATGCTCTCCTCCGAATAGCTGCCTGACTCACTCTCCCACCTCCCCCAGGTCTTTGCTCAGCTGTCACTTTCTCAGTGAGGCTTCCTCTTGGTCACCCTATCTAAAATTGTAACCCATTCCCCCGCATCCCATCCCTCCTTACTTGCTTTATTCTTCTCCTTAGGGTGTATCACCATCTGACATATACAGTCATATATATATTTATAGTCACAGATTATAAATATGTATATATTCATATTTTTAACTTATTGTTTTCTCCTGTCTTCCTCCCCACTACAATTTAAGCCCCACAAGAGCTAGAGTTTTTGTCTCTTTTGTTCAGTGCTATGTCCCTGGTGCCTAGAATAGTGCCTGGCATATAGCAGATCTCTCAATAAAAGTCAAATGAATGAAAGAATGAGTAAGTGGTATCTAGAAAAGACATTGACAAGGTGGATAGAGAGGGAAGGGAAGCGTTCAATTCTAGACAAGCACATTTGAAGGCCCTGAGTTTCACTGTAGGAAAAGAAGCTCTGTGATTTGGGAGCTGGCAAGGTAGGCAGAGGCCAGACCAAACAGGGCTTTGTACAGCATTAGACTTTAATGTGAGGGAATGAGGAACCATGAAGAATTTTAAACAAAGAGATAACATGACCATATTTTGTTTTTTAAAAATTCACTTTGAAAAAAAAAAACAGATTGTAAAGCAATACACATAATATCCCTTTTATGATTAAACAATGAATACATATTTGTTTTAATGTTTTTTTCTCATAGCAGCTGAGCCATTTAAAACATATCATCTGTTCAAAACACTCCAGTTCTTCCCATCTCACTTGGAGTAACACTTACATAATCTTTCCCAGCAGCCTCAGACCCATCTTTGGCTCTTCCCCTTCCATCTTTCCACTCCAGCCTGCACTAGGGTCCTAGACATTCCCCCGGACACATCAAGCACTTTCCTGCCTCAGGGCCTTTACATTTCCAGTTCCCTCTGCCTGGAATGGTCTTCCCCCAGATCGCCCCTTAGCTCACTCCACAGCTTCTTTCAGATCTCTGCTCAAATGCCACCGTGTCATACAGGCTTTCCCTAACCACCCCTGATAAAATAATGCTAGCACCCACTTCCTTTCCCTCCCTTTTCCATTTTGTTTCTTTATCCTACTGTTCTTCATAGCACTTGTCACCACCTAACACATTATATGCTTATTTATTTACTTATTGCCTGTTTTCCCCAATGAAATGTAGTATCATTAAAAGAAATCTTTCTCTTTCTGTTCACTGTTGTGGCTCCAGCACCTAGAACTGTGCCTGGCAGGAAACAGGTACTCAGTTGAATGAATAAATAGTTACAAGTCTATAAGGATACCCAGCAAAGTGTTGCAGTGGTTAAATGCAGGGAGAGAGATGGAAGAACTTTTAGATTTAGTAAATATATAGGTTAGTATATAGTATATGCTAAGTGTAGTGGGATGCAAAGAAGTGGGGAGATTTGGGAGCTATGCAAGAAGACAGAGAATCCTCAGTCTTGCCAGTAGATTGGATATAAAGGTTTCAGACTTGATCAGCTGAAGATATAGTGGTGCCATTTACCCAGATGGAGAGCCCTGGAGGTAAAGTATGCGGGGGTGGCGGGTGGAAAACAATGCAGACAAAGGGCTATTTTTGATCATGCTTAGTTTTAATGCCTACCAAACACCTAAGAGGAG